AATGTTGAATGGCTGATCCAGAATCAATGTCCGAGTTCCTCTTCTACTGCCGGCATCACTTGAGGTCCCCCATAGCCATGGCCGCCTCCTCCTCCCTTCCTCATCATAGGCCGAGGCTATGGCGGACTGCTAGGCCTTGCCCAGATGCCCAAAGGACAACCCAAAGCAGCTATGGCTGCTTCACTCAGGCCGCCATGCCCAACTCTGCCTTGAAGCTTCTTGGTGTGGCTCTCCCCAGTTGGGGACTCCCTGCTGCAGCACCCACCAAGGTGATGAAGATGGCTGCCACCATAGCCAGGTAAGCACCCCTGGCGCTCCTCCCCCTTCCTGTCCTTCTTCCTCCTCCGTGTCCTTCTCCTTCCCCAGCAGCGCTGTCCCTGGATAGCGCTGCTCCAACCGGCGCTCCAACCAGTGTGTCGCCAAACTTGCACACTGAAAAGGAGGCCAGGCTCTTCGCCCGGCTGGGAGATATAGCGGCCTGCTTGCCTCTTCGGGTGGTGACTTCCAGGCCGCTCGGCCTTCCCAGCAACCGGTACCTCCTCCCTTTCAGAGGGAAACATCATTGCAGACTCTTATATTGCCCGTACAGGCCCTAGACCCAGACTGGTTGGACTGGTATCCGCCTAGACCTAACCTACAACTATTGGGCCTCTAAAAATGTCACCCCTACATTATACAAATCCAAGAACACATATGCACGCATCCAGTAAACCATATCCCTGTTTGCATACATAGATCCTTGGAACAAATTATACATGTTATCAAAGGATATGAGCTGGCCCCAACCATGGATGGAGACATCAGCGATAAGTCCTGCTACTTCAAGTATACTGCTAGCATCAGGTATATTCTCAAGAGTGCAGAGACTTCAGGCTGAGAGTTATAAAGGGTTATCATGGGACTTTCAAAGCTAAGGGGGAAGATATGCGAGGATTTGAGCCCTCGTGCTGGAAAAGGTCTTGCCCGCCCTCAGTGAAGGCGGGCCTGCTAATATGTCCCAAGGCCTGGGTACAGGCCAGTGTGATCACGCTAAAGGGCTTTTGGAATCTATATGCCGGCCTGAATCTGAGCAGTGGCCCTTCTAGGGCTCTCCCCACATCTCGGCTGAGGCCCCGTACAGACTTGTGCCCACCCTAAGTGAAGGCGGGCCAGAATATTTATGAGAGGCCTATTTTTGTCAGTTCTGCATGTGGGGTATCAGAAAGTTGCAGCACGCCAGCTGGTTGCAGGGTAACGTGAGCCTTTCCCTGGTTTCTTCCGGAAGGAGCAGCTGGAGAGGCAGTTGAGCCCAGGGCACGTACAGTTGAGGCCCTGGGCGAGGCCGACACATCAGAGAACGGTGACGGGCCAAGGACAATGCAGCATCTTCGTCACACACTGGCCAGCAGCCAATGAGATCGCGGCAAACACTTGTAGCCTTATGGGCTACCTGGCATGCCCAACTGTAAAGGGCCCAGGCCCGTAACAGCAACTGAGGGCCTGGGCGCAGACACTAGCGCCCCAGTGGAAGCTACTGGAAACTCCTTCAGCCAGGCCCAGAGCTTGACAAAGCAGATCTCACTTTCCATAAAGGAAAGTGAGCACGGCAGCCAAGGAGGATTTTGGCCGTGTGCTTGCTGGCGGCAGCGCTGCTGGTTTGAGCGCTGGAGGCCGCTGGTAGGCCAAGGGCAGGAAGAGGCGCAGCATGGGCGCATTGTGGTGTTGGGCGCTGCTGGTGCAGCGGGCGCTGAGCATCCATAGCCGGGCTTGCTCAGCGGAGGCTGGTGATGGTGATGGTGGTCCTTGGGTGTCGGGGATGCACACTGTGGGAAGTCAAGGGGTGATGTGAGAGGAGAGAGAACGTACCTGGTGTATGCTGGCGGTCTGCATTGGTGATGACGTCACGTACATTGGTCTTCGACTTCGATGTGATCCAGTTGCACGAACGTAGATAGGCATAGATAGGCTGAGTAGTGTAGGCTGGGAGCTGGGCGCCAGACAGTAGGAGTGACATTGGATAGTGTCGACATTGACATATGAGTTCACTCTATTGCCCTTATTTGGATGGTACCTTGGTGCATTGTGCTCTCTGCTTGGTACGTGACTATCTGGACTACTTCGTGATTTTGCAATCTGGACTTCTGTCTATCGCTCTCGCTCATATTCCTTGCACAAGGGAAAACGCTC